ATTACCAGCCCATACCTTATTCGCGAAAAAGTCGTCCTCGTCACTTTCTGACTCATCACTTTCATCTTCACCCGACTCATCACCGCTTGAATTTCCAGCATCAGTTTCTTTATAAGATATCCTGCCCGAACGCTGCGCACTAGTTTCTTCCTTTTTCTTTTTCATTTCAGCCCTTTCACATATTGGGCACAGCCAGCTAAAAGTTAATTCGAGGACCTCTCATGACCATTACCAGCACAAACACAATAGAAATACAATTAGTGACTGAGTGACTCACAATGTGGGCTTCTCTTGAAGCCGAGGTCGAGTACAGTAGAAGTGAACGACAACAGCACAATTCGAGCATGCAATTTTGGCTTCAGGACTTCGCCTGCTACCGCACGAGTTGCACCGCTAAAAAGGAGGAATGCAAGAAAACAGTGAGCTAAATATTAGTTAATCAGTCAATGGCGAAGAATCCCAAGCAAAGGACCTCCTGTAGAACGGTAATGACAAATGAGGGCGCATATGGCCTATGAAATCATACTCGAAGCTCAAAGGCAATCTGCTTTTTTCTTCTATTCGAAGCCCCTTCGGGTAAAAAGCACCGTATGTTTGCACAATTCTGTGAACAGGTCACCACCACTTTAGACACAGCGCTATCAGTTACTTCGGCATTTACATCTCAATTCTTTCCGAAATACAAAAAAAAGTTGAGATTCTTTGAAATAAAACTCGAAATAAAAACGCCACACCTTTTCAACGACACTCTTCTTCCAGTCAATACGTGCGTCGAGGTAACTTCGAAGAAGATGAACGCCGGAAACATTGTGACATTCTGCCAAACGTTGTTTCCACCGATCCATAATCAAACACGAGTGCTGTCCTGAACAAAGTAACCTCACTTGCGAACTCATGAGAATAAAAAACCTCTAGCTTTCAACAGATCAACATTCAATTTGAAAAAAAGCGAATATTTCGCCCAATAGGTAGTTCATGTCAGTGAAGACAGTTCAAAAATTGTTCAAAACCAATACGGAATGTCACAGTTTACGGCAAATGCATGCTAGCCCCCAGTAACTTCTCTTATCAAGCTCTCAGGCGAAAAGTATTTTGACTAAACCGTGAACCTTTCCAAGATGCGCCACACCTACGATTCCAGTTCAGAATAGCATCTGAATGAGTACTTTTCAATGCAATCAGCTGATGAGGTCAAACAGATTTGGTTGTTTTAGGTAAGGAACGATCCAAGATCTGGTTCTGGACCACCAGACCTCACTCGTCACTGCCCCGCTTGATTTCTCCCGGAGCAACTTATTTCAGCACCGTAAACATCATCTTTCAAAACTACTGCTAGCTACTTGGAAACTTACCAGTTTGCTGAGCAACTTTGAAATCCAACCGTCGAACAATAGCGGACGGTGTAATGCTATCGGCGAGTTCTCGCAGCTTTTTCTTCTGAAGGAAGGCTAGTTGATCTCATGCCCAATAGGATGCACAGAAATTGTTTACAAACCACTTCATCAAGCGTTGTACAGCAAAGAACTTCAGCTTCGAAGTCTTCGATTTTCGCGATACTGGTGAAGTAACTGTCTCTTAGATCGGAAGCTAGCTGAATGATAGTCTTGCGAAGCGGAGTCAACGATTCTGCGGACAGATCCTCATCTTCGACATCGATTTCACCAGGATCAGGCCTGCAACTTCTGACAATCACAACTCGGCTTTGTGAGTGTGGTATAGATATATTTTGAACATTTTGACAACAGTGAAGAACTAAAGAACTGTATCGAAGAAAACCAGAAGCTTGAAGATCGAATTAAAACTAAACTTGAACTTCAAGTTAAACACATACTACCAGACAAAAAAAAGCTTTCAACCTACGTCTTGCTTTGTCTTTGCACTTCCTCCAGTGATACTGGTGAGTATCGCCTCCTTGTTCTTTTTGAGGAACTAAATTGGCACGAATCAGCCGAAACCTTAACTCTTGCCAATGTATTCCAGACTTACCATTAACAATTTACCCTCCCTAATTCCTGCTTTCATTAATGAACTCAACAAACTGTCAAACGACGTCACATCAGCTACTCTATGCCACGTTTCCGTATAGCTGAAAAGGTAGAAGTATGCATTTTGCAAATCAGACTGCTAAGGGCTAAAGCTCGAAGTACCTCTCGGTTCGGAGGATGGGCGCCATTGCTCTGAGTCTTCTTCAATCTGGCAGCGAGAGCGCCTGTGGAGCATGGATATCGGGATATTTGTATTACCCGTTCGAGTGCGATTGGGCTTTGGCATTCCTCGTTTTCGATTCTTCCTATTTATGCATCCTCCTCTATCTCGCTCTCGAACTGCTCCCTGGCTTTTGATGCCATGCGCGGTTAATGAATTTCTGTCAGACCCATCTGCAAATTGAAAAAAATGGAGCAGGTTCACTTGATTTGCAACGAGAAACTTACATCTTGGATCCAGATGCCATCATCAGCTGATTTTCCATGGAACCAGTAGTAACGGCGAAAATGACGGTCTTCACCAATAGGCAATAGACGTTTAGACTGAGCCTTTGCTAGTTTTTCTACCTGAACCAAAAAAGGTGGTCAGCGGCAACAGTGAAACCAAAGAGCGAGGTGAACTACCGTACCGTGAGCTTTCCAAGCAACTCCTCCACTTTATCCTTGTTCTCTTCAATCTTCCGTTCGAGCGTTTCACGCTGTCTCTGGATATCGGCTCTTTCTCGTGCCTCACTTCGAGATAACAAGAGAGGATCGGGCACCTCCTCAAACTCAGGCAAAGCAACGAGCTCCTCCTGCCAAGTGCTGACCTGAAGCGATACAAGTACTGATCTGTTACTTTGGCATATTTGATCCTGAATTTTTAAAATACAAGGTATCGTTTAAGTAATCCACCTGCTCATTAAGCTTTGTAATCTTATCACGCAAGTTACGAGCAGTTTCACTGAGTCCCTCTTGACTGATATAATCCTGAAACGGAATAAATGAATTACATAATGACCCCAAGAAGGCCGATAAAATGAAAGAAAATAGTGCTAGACAATATGCAGAATTAGGCTCAAAAATGTGATCTCGAATGGAACGTCCGCGTCAATCAAACTTTCCTTATCCGGGGTAGAGTTACCAGTAGAGTTCTATTCGGGAGGATAAAACATACACACTTAGGCTAGCACTCGCAAGGCACTATATGGACCACATCGCATTATACTACCAAGATAAATGTGAATGGAAATCAAATGCGTGGCGTGTCCCAAATCAAAAGAAGTGGGGCTAGGCAATGCCAAATACTTTAGCTTTCATCCTATTAAATTCATAAAAGTCTGTGTTTCTAGAGCAAAAGAATACCTTGAAAGAGCGAAGGTCAAGGACCCGATTCAACACCAAACCAAGAATTCCCAGCTGGTCCTTCGGGTGTGAGTTCCCAAAGCTCCTTATCGGGAGCGAAGCTGTCAAGAAAAGTCTTGCACACATCCTGAAACAGATTACGAGATAATTGAAAATAAAGGAGATGTGTGAATTAATCAAAACATACGATATCGATCTGTGACATATCGTTCATTTCGCACGGAGTGTTACGTCCACTTTCAACAGCATTCTCTGCGTCTTCATTATCAACACCATTCTGGGTCGAAGGCTCGGTGTTGTCGTTTGCGTTCCGACTTTTTCTAAAACACCAAATTCTGGATTTAACACATTGTCGATAGCATGACGCGCACACGCGCCAGCTTCTCACACTGAATGAGCATCTTTTGCTCGATTTACTCGATATTTTTCATATCAGGAAGCAGTCTTTCATTATTGGAATCAGAAAATGTTAGAATCCATTATTAGCAACAGAA